AAGGCCTTTCTCACATTGGCTAATGTTAATGTTCATGAGTCCACCATCAGGAGAACACAGAACAACCATGGTGTGCATGGTGCATCCAAAGAACATTGCTGCCAGTCTGCAGTTTGCTAAAGATAATGCGGACAAGCCAGAGGGCTACTGGAGAAATGAGATGTTGTGCAGGACTGATCAGCAGTTACAAGAAACATTACCTGCAGTTATTGGTCAGACCAGATACTGAATGCAAAGATTCACATACTTTTGCCACTCACAGATATGTAACATTGAATAATTTTTCTCAATAAATAAATGGCAAAGAAAATATTTTTGTCTCATTTGTTTGATTGGGTTCTTTGTCTACTTTCAGGACTTGTGTGAAATTTTGATTATGTTTTGAGTCATATTTATGCAGAAATATAGAAAATTCTAAAGGGTTCACAAACTTTCAAGCAGCACTGTATATGAAGTGAGCAAAGAGCGCTCCCTTTATATTCAGGCTGTCAATCACTTCAGTTGCAGCACGATTGGCTACAATGCTCAACACTGCAAATCGTTTTGTAAATAGAAACATTTTATGGTCTTCAGACTATAGAGTGTGAACCTATCAGCAGGTATTGAACTGAGTCGAAATAGTCTTGGTTATTGGACCCGCAGTCAGCCAATGCCTACTGATTCCCGCATCAGAAAATTACAACTTAAATATTATTCCATGCATTACATAAAATATTTAGCGGTTCACCCATATCTGGCCACATGTAGGTTCTGAATGGTTTTAAGCTTATGTATTTTGGATGGCTTCCACTGCATTACTATGCAGTTGCTATGGTGATCGGAGTGATTATTAGCACATTGCTAGGTGATTACTAATGCTGTGTTCCATTTGTACTCGGAAATTGAATATTCCGAGTTCCCAGTAGGAACTGGATCGCCCTCCAAAGGAGAGTTCTGACTCGAAATCTCAGAGGAGTCGCAACAACTCCAACTTCAGAATCCATTATGGCTGCTCAGTGCATCAACAGATTGTCTGTGTCTCAATAAACTCAGTGGTGAACACAGTACTATCCAACCTCTATTTGTGGACATGAAACTATGGTGTTATCTGTGCAAAATACCGCTTTTTATTTGTTTTTAATTTATTTGTATTGCGAACAGTGGACGCGTCCGTCTTAGTTTTCGAACTTCTCTACTGGAACACGGTCCACTTGGATGTGACGCCATTCCCAGCTCCGACATCTGACTTCCGAGGTAAATCGAACACGGCATTACTGACAAGTCAAAAAAGCCCACCCGGAAGTCTTCATTTTATGCTAGTCTCTAAATATGCCTCGGGCTAATTTTTTCACCTGCTTTATCATCTGTCAGGTGAAAATTTTAAACCTCATTCAGGCACGTGCACAGATAGACATCAAAGGGGGCTTGAGCACCTGCCCTTTTTCATCCTCAAGAGAAAGTGCCCTTTTTTCTGGGGAGTATTTTTTTTAAATGAATATATGTATATATGTGCGCGTGTGTTTCTGTTTGGGCACAGCTTTCCCTGTCAAACTAATAAAAAATTTAAATATCAGGTCGGGTCTGGAAATGTTGAGACTCTGTCGAGTTCCGATGCCTTTCTCCCCTCCGTACAGGAACAGCACAGCAATGTAGCACACATTGATCGGCACATGCACATCACATCACAGACAGGCAGAGAGCCGCAGAAGTGAAGCCCTCCCTCCCTTTCCAGTTGTGTTTGTCTTGGTGTGGAGGTGAGTTGGTGATGAACAAAAGACTAAACTACCTGTGCCTCGAATTTACAGCCAATTACCCAAAAGGCAATTATAGTTAATTTGTCTTGCTAACATCCATGGCTCATGAGAGCTACCATGTAAGTTAGCTAAAGTTTAGCTAAGGCAATAGGATATCTAGTAGGTTAGACCAGTGCACGTTCTTTCACTGTATGATTCAGTTTATTCAAATGCATTTAGAATGATCACAAAATTCAAGATATGGGGGCAGAAATGTATATATTTATATCATTTCATATAGTTAATCAGTATCACGCGAAGACTGACATTTTTTCCACCAAAAAGCAGCATGGTTACAAATGTGATATTGATTTTATACAGCAGTTCAATAAACAAGAATTTAATATTAAGATACTTACGTTTTAGACACAATATTGACACTTTTTGCTCTATTTCGCCAACAAATCTCTGAGCTGCGCAACATGACTGTTACAGGGCGAACGAGATGTGAGACGTGCGGATCCATCTGCAAATCTTTATTTTCAAACATGGTCAAAACAGGCTTGGGTCAGACACCAGCAAACAGATATAGACAAGGCAAGACAAAGAGTAATCCATATACAGGCGTGGGTCAAACGACGGCAAACATAATCCAGGGGGCGAGGCAACGGGTAATCCAAAAACATGCAATAATCCAAGCAAGGGGCAAACAGAGTCCAAACGACAAAACAAGAGAATAATCCAAGACAGGCAGGTGATCAAGAAACAGGCAATACGACGTGACTAAACTAAGACTAGAACTAGGAACAAGAACTGGAAACTATGACTGAAAACTGGCTCCGTAATGTTGCTATCACTAGGAGAGAGATACACGCAAACAATACTCGACAGTCTGAGAAGGATCTGAGTGAGTGTAATATAGTGTGTGTGTGATTGGTTACAGCTGTGTGCAATCAGTGCAATGGATGATGGGA